AGTGTGTGCTGAGGATTGGCACCACTGGTGAATGGTCAGTGCAGGACCAAAAGAAATAGGCATGCCATGCCAAAGGGAGGATTGAGGCCATCTGCTCAGCTGTGCTGTGGGGCCCATGCAGCATAGGAATTTAACATTTGCTATGACAGTTCTGGGTATATGGTAAGTGCTTTGCTGGAAATGGGGCAGGGGTTTCCTGCAGACCTGAGAAATGGATGCCAGAGTCGTTCTGTTGCAGGGGGTGATCATGGAGCAACGCCAAGCACTTGGTTACCTGCTGCAGCAGCTGCTCAAAGAAAAGAAGCAAAGGGAAGAAGAATTGCAGCAAATACTGGTAATGAAGGCCCGTAATTCTGGGCTGTAGATGAGCACAAAGCACAAGCCTTTGTAAGCACGAAGGCTGTCTGCAAGGAGAGCATCCATGGGTCAGCATAGGGATAAAGAAGAGCAGGGAGGGGCTCTGAGTGGTGGTGTCCGGACTCAGACTTTGGAAAGTGCTGATGTAAGCTCTTGGGGCATGGTTACCTCCGGTCCCTGGTGCAGTGTGAGGCCCTGGTATCTGAAATGTCCCCTGCTTCCCCCATCTGGGGATGATCTTTCCCATTTCTGGGGAAATCACAGGAAAGAATCAGCATGATCCTACTGGGTGTCTGCATGTGGCCTTGTAATTCTGAAGACCTCTAGGCTGTCCTGAGCTTCAAAAGGCTGGGCTTTAGTACATAGGGCACAGTGAGCAGAGGGATGCAGAGGGTGTGGGATGTGGGGATCAAAGTGGGACCAGCCTGGCAATTCTCTGAGCCAGCCCTACACAGCCAGGCTGCTGATTTCCCCTTACACACACAATTCAGGCTGCTCTAAATAGCACTTACTGCATTATCTCGGGCTGTTGAGTGAATGAGTTTGTTTTTTAGTTGGAAATGGAAGCAAAGAGTGAAACCAAACAGGAGAACTACTGGCTGATCCAGTACCAGCGCCTGCTGAACCAGAAGCCGCTCTCCCTGAAACTCCAGGTTGCTGCTGCATTTACTGCTTCCACTGTAGTGTGCACACTAACAAAATGCTCTGCTGGACAGGTGCAGAGGAAGGAACACTGTTCCAGCCAAACCTCTGAACAGCTCCACTTGGCTGCCTGGTGCTTCACAGTACTGAGCCAGGGACTTTGTGCTGTGAAAACAGCTGCGGGGCAGCCCCAGAGAGATTGCTCTGAGCTCCAGCCCTGCTGTGTGTCAGCTCAGGTTGGCAGAGCAGGTGCTGCTGCAGACATCAGCTGCCAAAATTGCTGTGTTTCATTCTTCCAAAACCAAGGTGTTCTGAATTCCGCTCATAAAGTATTTGCGGCCGGAGCTCCTTTGGCTGTTGGGCTTTTTAGTGTCTTCATGGAAGCAAAATGCTTCTAGAATGGCCTTGTTCCTGAGAGCAGGACTATGTGCATTGCCTGTCCTTGCTGCCATGCATGGTCAGGCAGCTGTGTGTCCACACCTTTTCTCCAGAGCGAAGTCTGAGAGCTCACCTTGTGTTTTGCAGGAGGAGGGCTTGGAGAAGCAGCTGGTGAACCTTTTAATTGAGCTGTCAGCTGAACAGTATGTGCCTGTCTTTGCACACCATCGAATTTCCTTGGAAGTGCTCAGCACCATGACTGCCAATGACCTGGAAAAGGTACGAGGCAGCAGATAAGCAGTACAGGGCAATGCTGCTCTGTGTCTGACCCTGTCGAGCCGTGCTCGTGGTTATGCCCACTGCAGATCTTGCAGGACGGAGTGTTGGTGCTCCTGGTGTGCCACATCTGTGCAGGGGGAGGTGCTGATGCTACTCTGTGCCTTGTCCAAGCAGGTGACAGATTTTCCAAAGCACCTGCAGAATGAGCTGTAGCTCAGCTCTGCCTTTCAGTCCCTCAGATGCGCTTTGTAGCTCAACAGGGGCACGTGCGAATTCCTTTATTCCAGTTTTGATGCCTGATGGAGATTCTCCCCTTGACGTGAACAGGTCTTGCCAGCCTGGCCAAAGAGTTTGTGTTGTTCTCTTGGAGGTGTCTCCTTTCTCAGCCCCCTCTGTGCTTTCTCATCTGAGTGCTGACAACCCTCCTTTTGCACTGCAGATGGGCATTGCAGAGACTGGCCTGCAGCGTGCCATCCTCAGACGGGCACAGGAGATCCTGGCTGTGGCAAAGACAATCCCAGGTACCAGCAGTTCTTTTCTGCCTGCTCCTTGACGTGTCGTGTGGTAGCAGTGGGTACCTGAGCCTTGAGTGGGGAGATCTGCAGGGCCAGATGCCTACCTGTGGGAAGTAGAGCTGATGGAGGTTTGTGTGCCTGTGGGAGAGGCAGGGTGTGCTGCATTGTCACCATTGACTCTCAGAGCACTGAGCTCCCGTGGGCATGCAGCTGCTCCTGGGTGAGTGGGAGATGGAAGCTCTCCTCAAGCTCAGACCTCTGCTTGTGATTGCAGAGCTGCTGAGGACGGTGGACGCCGAGGTCCCTGCAGCCACACAACCCAGTGCCCCTGAGGAGGAGGCCCCGAGTTCTGTGGTCCCCACTGCTCCCCTGCTGCAGTGGGATGAGAAGAAGTCAGAGTGCGTTGTCTGCATGGAGCAGGAGGTGAGAGCCCATGTGTGCTGCCAGAGCAGGGGTGAGAGAGGGCCAGCTGGGATGTGGCACTGGGCAGTGCTCTTCCTCAGGTCTGTTTCACTGTGCACTCTTTGCACAGTGCAGGGGCTCAGGGTGCTGGCACTGTCTACCACTCTGAAAGCTGTAGGTGTTGCCCATCATCTCCAGCTTCCTCCTGTATTTTGTCTAAGTGTGGTGGTGCTGAGATTATGGTACAACAGCACTGTTCATGTCTTCTCTCTCTTTCCACAGGCCCAGATGATTTTCCTGCCTTGTGGCCATGTGTGCTGCTGCCAGACCTGCTGCAAACGGCTACAGAGCTGTCCCCTGTGCCGCGGGGACATCACACAGCACGTCCGCATCTTCTACAGCAGCTAGGCAGGCTGGAGGGAGGCATGGCTGCCCAGCACTGCCCTCATCACTCCGTCCCAGGGCAGGGCTCCCCTATCAGTATTAAATATGCTCTCACAGCATGACCAGCGCTGCCCTCTCCCTGCACACGGCTCTGGCTGGCCGCAGGCTGCACCCAGGGCTCTCAGCAGCCCTCCACCTTCCTGGTGGCTTTCCAGCCTTTGTCTTGGGTTCTTCATCTGCATCCACCATCCAGCTTGTTTGCCCAGCCTGGGAGCACTGGGTGATGGCATTGGGTGTACTGGTGCTCCTCCTCTCTGGCTATATATTTGCCGTTGGAATTGCCTGTTGCTCAGCAGTGACGCAGTTAGAGCCATTGCTTCTGAAGCCACTGGGACCCTGCAGCTGCTCTATTATGGCCATGCCACTTGCCATTCTTCTGCTGTGGTGAATTCTCCTCCAGGAGAGGCATCCTGCCTTGTTAACGCTCTGGGAGGCTGAGAGTGCCTTGCTTGTGTGTTGTTGCCATAGGCAAGACTTGTGCTCTTGCAATCAGTGGCAACATGGCTGGGGGCTGCAGCAGGAGGCAGGGCAGAGCGAGGTGCTTCCCATCCCTCACTGTCAGTCCCACTGAAGAGCAGCATCTGCAGCAGCCTCACAACCAGTGCTCGAGGGACAGCTCTGACTAGAAGACATTCCTCGTTGAGATGTGCTGTGTGGGGGAAATGTTCCTGCCACAGAGTTCCAGCTCTTCCTTGTGTATGTGTGTTGGCATCTGCATTGTTCCCCATTGTCATTAATAAGTAACGATCCCGGTGGGGCTTTTAGTCTCTTGACCTCAAGTATAAAACACAGAGATAAGTCTGGTCCTGCTGCAGCCCTTTCCCCCAGGAGAAACTTAAATACAGCTGGTTTCGGCTGGTTGTTCGATCCCTTTTTATTGCCCCTTGTCTCGCAGTCGCAGTAGCACCTCCTCCTGGCCCAGAACACGGAAAAATTTGAGGGTTTGGATGCAGCACTGATGACTTCCAGACAGCTGGGACCTCAGGAACCTCTGCTGCCGTCGTGTTCTGTTTACTGTGCCCTGGCGGAGCATCCATGCGGCACCGCAGCCCGGAACTGGGGGCTGGCACGGGGCCGGGCGCTGCAGAGAGGGCTCACTGCGTCTGGGGCAGCGCCAAGGCTGCGCCTCTGTTTGCACGGAGCTGCGACCGCAGGGAACGGGCAGGTCCCTTCCGGAGCCTTTGGGACGCAGCGCAGAGGGGCTCAGCCTCGCATCCTCCTTGCCTGGCGTGGCGTGGAGGTACTCAGCATCTCGTGGGGATGGGGAGCAGTGAGGTGCCGGCTGGTGGGGCGGCAAGAAGGCCGGCAGCTCGCCGCGCTGCTCTCGTGTTGCCAGGGCCCCGCAGGGAGGAGTGCATCACAGCTGCTCTCACTGAGTTGCCAGCGGCTGCCGGCTGACTCCGGTGCTCCCAAGGTGGTGGTAATGAGTGACGAGCCCTCGGGCAAGGTCCGCTGCCTGCCCATAACGCACTGTGCCAGGAAAGCCCGGGGCAGAAGGAGCGGGCAGGGTCGGGCTGCCTCTCATCCCCAGGGCCAGCCCTGCTCGGCTGCACAGGGGGACGCAGCGGCAGCCGGGGCAGCAGCTGGCGCTGCGACCGACCCAGGTTAAGGGCGATGTGATGCTGAGCGCTGACAGCTGGGCACGCAGGGCTCGGTGAGCTCGTTGTAAAACAAAATAACAAGACCAACGCGTTGTGCTTAGGGAATACTTCGAATATCGGGGCTCTCTAAAGGAAAAGAAGCAAAAACCGTTTTGTTTCATGGACCGTGGGCAGATAACTTATCACGTGGTCATGCACTGGGGTTGGTCATCCATCCATTACGCACCTCTGGTGGGAAGGCTGGCTCTGTCTCCTGCTTTCGGGGCCACTGGGGTACCCGGAGCTCCACGGCAGCCCCGGGCAGCGGAGGAGGAGCCGGGCCGGCGCCGCCGGGCACCCCGGGGCCGGGCTGAAGTTCAGCCTCCGCCTTCCAGGGCACGGCCACCAGCCGCCTCCAGCCTTCAAAAGCACGAGAGCGGCGTGGCGCTGCCCGGGAGCGGCATGGCGGCGGGGCCGGAGACCGGCGGGGAGTGCGGGATCTGCTATGAGGCGTACCGGGGCGTCTGGGCGCCCCAACAGCTGCCCTGCAGCCACTCCCTCTGCCAGAACTGCCTACGCAAGCTGGTGTGCCGCGCCGCCACCGTTGCCTTCATCAGCTGCCCCTTCTGCAGGATGGTGACGCTGGTGCCCGAGATGGTCCCAGCTCACAGCCGGGGAGGAGGAGGAAGATGATGAAGACAGCGGTGCCCGTCGGGCCTCGAGGCAGTCCATGACCATGGAGGCGGCCTGCGCAGCCCACGCTCCCATCTTTACGGTGAGCAGCATGGTGGCCCCCTGCAGCCGGGGGTGCCGGGCTGCTGCTGGACTCACAGCCGCCCCTCACCTCCGTGGAGAATCTGTGCCTCGGCTTCGCCGCTGGCATCTGGTTGAAGGGTGAGAAGGGCCCTGTAGTAAAAACGTGAGGAAAAGGCTTAACAGGGATTAAGGAGTGGGGGGGGTTAGAGAAAGTTTGTAGAAATGAGAATGTTAGAAAAATAAGGGATGGCAGACACTGGGTCTGGGATAACAAGAGGATGAAGGCCGTAAAGAGAAGGGTTTGAGAACAGCCTGAGGACGCCTGGCAGCGAGGCGATTCGATGGCTGCAGGGCGAGCTGAAATGGGGTTGGGGGGGGCTGCCCCTCCCGCAGGGTCAGAAGTTAACAGGGAGGAAGACTGCGAGCCTTCGCGAGGAAGATGAGGATTCTTCAGCCCACGGCCGCCAGGAGGAGACCCTCACCACTCACTGCGCACGCGCAAGGGGAGGCCGCGTGCTGATGGGTTCGGAAAGGAATGAATGTGATCTGAATTCCTGGGAACTGCTGATCACGTATTACTTCGGCCTCTACCTGGAGCACGCTTTTTCCTGACGCTGTGCGACTCAGGAGCAGCTCTCCCCCTTGCACCTGGCGTCGCAGCCCTGATTAAATGTACCTGCTTTTGTAATACTCTGTGGTCATAGAGTCTGATTCCACATATCAGTGTGCACCGCTCCTCGGGGCAGCGCGTGCCAGGGCCCTCAGGAAACATTTTTTCCTGCTATGAAACCCACCGAGTGCCCGAGCCAGCACTCTCCAAACAAACACGTGGTGCTGACAGACTTATTGCCGGCCGGGCGACGAATCTGCTGTTGGGGCGGCAATGCCTGTGCCCAGGGGGCCCAGCTGTGTGCGTGGGGGAGAGAGGGGCGGTGGGCCTTTGGGGCTGGGTTGGGGGGCTGTGGGGGCCGCAGCTGTCACTGAGATAAGAAATGTCTCTGCAGAGCTGGAAGTCAGGAGCTGAGGAGATACAAAGGGCTCCCATTGTGCTCCTGAGTGCCCCTCCTCTCCTGGCTGCACGCTGAGGGCAGGTGGAGGCAGGAGCAAGGGCAGAGAACTTCTCTGCTTTTCAATCTTCTGAGAAAACAAAAAAACCTGAAATCTTACACATATGCATGGGATCTGTTGAGTCCCAGCCTGAACCACTGGTTCAGCACCTGCAGAAAGGAGCTGCTCAGCCCTGGAAGCACAGGTGAATGCAATTCTGCTGTGTGATGGAAGGGTTGGAGCCTGGCTGCACCTCCCTTAGACCTCATGTAAGGGCTGACTGCAGCTGGGGAAGGATCTCTATCTGGAGATCCCTCCTTGGTGATGCTTCTTCCTGTGAACCTGGAATCTTCTGGTATGGGTGAGCAATGTTCCCTTCCTTTATAGTACCTCTCTGTGGTGCCAGTCCTTCCATCATCACACCTCTGTTGAAACGCCTTTCCTAGTCACAGGATCACAGAATGGCCCGGGTTGGAAGGGACCTCAAAATCATTTCTTGCAATACCGATTCTTAACAGCAGTTTTACAGTGGAGCATGAAAACAAATCCGCTCACAGGATGGAGTTGCTCCAGAATACTAGAGTTTGCAGGTTCAAAATCAAGCCTGGAATGGCACACCTGGAGTGTTCAGGAAATCTGATAGTGAAAGATAACTTCAAATAAATAAATAACCCAGCACAGCCACAGTATTGAAATTGGCCTTGACAGCTATCAGTGTCTAACTACTGTTATTTTAGAGTGGTGGATCTCTTTAGCAGCCACCAATTTACTCAGCTAGCCATTATAAACCTTAATTTTTCATAATTGCACACGGGCTGATCCAAAAGTAATAACAGGAACAGAAAAACACAGACTCTCAGAATATCTGTCGTGGGGATGGAACAGCAAAACCAACACTGCAGTCAGCTGCAGTTATTCCATGGGAAGGAACTGATGCCAGCAGAAAGGTCACGACCACTTCCGACACTCAAACCATAGCAGCATTTCAGAGCACGCAGCCTTGGAATAAACCCCAAGGATAAACCAAACTGCATCTCTGTTCCAGCCATTTTTTCTTCAATATACATGCATAGACTGGGAGGCACTAATCCTGCAAATTCACTGTACCACTGTGTTGTATGGTAAGAAGAAAAGCAGGATGTTTGAGACTTTGTCAGGCACAGAACCTCCAGCACTGGGGTGAGCAGTTCTGAATTCTGGTATCTGGTCGTAATTTGCGTGCATGCACAAGAAGCAGCGCAACTCAGCTTACAAGAGCAACCAAATGCATTCAAGGCATACTTACAAAAGACTCTGAGGTAGAAAGCTGCTCACTGAGGCAAAGATCAGAAATGAGGCAGGGGAAGCCTGACAGACTGAGAGCGATTAATTGTCTGAATAAAGAAAGGAACAGAAGGAACAGACATTGCTGGAATCTATCAGATGCCAATCTTCATTTGAAAAACATCCTGTACATGTAGAACAAAAAGCAACACAGGATCAACTGTTATACTATTTATTTATTATTTATTCTAACTATTTATCCCACTATCTCAGTGATGATTGCTATTATACAAACTCTGTGTATTTTTAATACTGCTGTTTAAAAAAAAACCACAAATTCCTCCTTCAGTCTGTAATCAAATTCAAATTCATTTATGAGTTTAGGTAGGAAAAAAGACTTCTGCTCTCGGTAACACAGCTACAAAAGCACTGTACAGGATACTCACAGATACGGCATCAACCAAAGCTGGCTCTCTGTAACAGCACATTTCCTTTGTCTATTCCACTTCTGTTGATGCACATTACCACAGCTTTGATGACAGTAATGTTTCCTGGGCCATGTGTCAGCGCTGCAGAGCTTCCACCTCCTTTAAGCATCCGTCCAGGACATGGAGGAAGATGGGCTACCACAAACCAGATAAGCTTACTCCTCAGCCAGCTCCTAATGCTCCAGCAACTGATAGGAACTGCAGGACCATGGGGTACCAGCACCCAGACTACCACCTTACTTAGCCAGCCCTCCATGATGCAGCAAATGGAAGCAGCTGTAGGAGGATGGGGTGCTGCCACCCTGAGAAACAGATACATTATGCGGGCAGCCATGTTCAAGTACAAGAGAGGAGCCATGTTCGAATACAAGAGAGAAGCTGTGTTCAAGTACAAGAGACGAGCTGTAGGAGGATGGGGAGACATTAGTCAGACAAACCTTAGAAACATTAGCCAGCTACCTGTGATCCAGCACATGGAAGGAGCTGTAGACGGATCAGGTGATGCTACCCAGGGAAACACAAATCTTAACCAGCCACCCGTGATCCAGCACACAGGAGGCGATGGAGGAAGACGTTCCCTGGAGAACCATCAACCTTCTCCAGCGAGTCGTGCTCCTGTGCAGAGGAGAAGTTCCAGGACGGGGCGCTCCTGCAGCTGTTGTGCGGCCTCCTGTGCTTACAAAGAGCTCCTCGGGTGGCAGCCGCAATGGAGGAGGACGCTCTGGTGCCTCCAGGGTTGGAGCAGCAGGCAAGAAAGGTGCGGTGTCCTCGCAGAGAGAGCTCTGCATTAAGCAGTGCAGACCCGGGTGATGGCCACTGAGATGAGCAGCAGAGACTTCTGTAAGTGATGACCCTGTCCCCTGGGAAGCGCTCGCAATGAGCTGCTTACGTACTTACCGGCTTCCTCTGGATAATGGAGAGGATGCGTTCCGGGGGATGGAAGCTGGGATGTGGGGGGGAACCATAGGAAGCACGGGGGTTTTGTCTCTCTCACAGACCTGATGTGGTTTACTTGCAGTTCGATGATATGGTAAAACGCTTTGTCAGACATCTGTGTGTCCAGCAGAGCAACTGCTGTGTCTTTCAAGGTGGTTGTAGCATTCTTCAGCTGTTCCCTCTGAGCAGTGTCCTATGCAATTAAATGGCACGGCTTTGGCTATTTGAGTTTGACTTTGCTTTTTGCCATTTGGCTTCTGACTGTGTAATTTCTTCTTTTGCTGTCACGTTCTGTTTTCTACTGACTGGACAGCGGAACGCATAGCAGCCTGGGAATCTTCTGGACAGTGGATGCTTTCGTGTTACTCTCCTGAGAAGGGCAAGCCTAATGTTTCAGGTCAGTACCATTTTTTAGCCTTTGGGAACTGCTGAAGTCACGGCCTGAACCTCTGATTGATCACCTGAGGCGAGCCATGAGTCAGCCAGAGGAGCACAGGTGAAGGCAATTCACCTGTGCTGCTGGAAGGGGTGGAGCCAGGCTGCACCCCTCCTAGACCTATTGAAGAGCTGGCTGCCAGTGGGGAAGGGTCTCTGCTGGAGATTGCCTCTTCTGGTGTTTTGTGGTGAGCCCAGCATAAGGGTAAGCCTTCCATTCATTCTCTTTTGTTATCATAGTCTACTTCACCTAACTCTCTTGTTTATTTTGTGATTGTAACATCTTGATATCGATTATACAGCCTTGCTGAGTGCTGCTACTGTTCAGACTGCATATCTATACTTGTCCACACTGCTGTGCCTCAATGGAAGCATTGTAAGGTGAGGACGTGCCTTGTGATGCAACAGGTAGGGGCACTGGATTACAGTATTTCTTTGGTGTGTTTACACCCCTGAAGTTGCACCAGGAGTCCTTTCTGTGTCTCCAAGTAGAACTGACTTGTCCCAGGCGGTGCAGCAAGGGCAGTTTCTTGTGTAACTCTAGGGGGCAATTTTGTATTTGTGTTGTATTCCCTTTGGAGCATGCTGATTGTTTGCCTCCCTGTAGGCTTTCCAGAGATCTCCCCTGAGGAGCTGTGCCTGGCCTATTATAACTGCAGTGCAATGGAGAGCACAGGATGCTATGTAAGTATTTGGAACAACTGACCTTTCTGTGAACGCGTTCAGGGTAGCAGTGGTTCCTGTGCTTCAGGTGGCCGCTCTTGACTCAATGAATGCCCAACCCGAGGGGAACGTAAGAACACCCTCATACGTTCACTTTTCTGTGCAGCAAGTAGAAAACAGCAGGAGCTGCTGGCCTGAAGGCTTTGCCATAACTGAGCAACCTGATGTGGCCATAGGTGTCCCTGTTCACTGCAGGGGAGTTGGGTCAGATGGCTTTAAAGGTCCCTTCTGACTCAAACAGGTCTATGATTCTCCCTGCCTCTTTCTGGTAACTGCGTGGCACAAGCCTCACCAATGATGCAGGTACAAAATGTACTATCCAGAGCAGGAGTTTCTGCTCATAAAGTGGGGCAAGACCTGAATTGTCCAGTCTGAAATTTCCTTGCAGTAGGTCAGATCACTCTTG